TAAAAACATCTATGTGTCTACCAGTTGGGAGATTCGTACATAGATTATGGCATGATCCCAATACTGAGTATTCTACAGCTGTTCAAAGAGGGAATCCAATCTCCATATTGTGTCTCGAAGGATGTTCATACCAAACCGTTTGGGGAATAAGAAGAGTCAGAAGAGGACCCTGAGCTTTCGCATGCAATACAACACAACACAGCACAGCTGTTTTCTCTATGATCTCAGAGAAAGGTTTGGAAAATACCCAAAATGATACACGTTCGTTCTCTTGGGGTCAAGGATTGCAGAGTGTGGGGGAATAAGGGATGGTGACTTCTCTCTGTCTGGTTTACTGCTGCCTCTCTGGAACATAACAGGCATACTGGATCCTTTCAATAAGATTTATTGAGTAAACAAACATTTCTATTTATTTAACAAAAAAATGAAGGCGTATGAGGTGGGACAGTGGAGAAACTGGAGTAGAAATAAGAAGGACTCTAGGGCTCTGCGCAGAGGGCTGCTGTAGAAGTGAAACTCTCCCAGAGGGAGCCAGCAATCAGCAAGCACCCGGATGAAGAGCTGGCCTCAGGGGCGAGGTCAGAGGGGTCTAAGCAGCTCATTCTCCCGGAAACCATCCTCCGTCCCCCTCTCCACTGGTTCGAAGGTGTTCTCCTGGCCAAGGTGAAAAGGCTCAGCTGGTGTGGGAGGTCAGAGAGAGGCAGGGCAGGATCGGAGGACATGCGAAAAGAGACTGTGCTATAGCCAGACAAGGCCTCCTACAGCCTTTTTTTTTTTTTTTTTTTTGACAGGCAGAGTGGACAGTGAGAGAGAGAAAGAGAGAGAAAGAAGCCAGCTGCCTTCTGGCTTCCTATGCACACACCCTGCAGGAGTGGTCTCTGCAGCGTCCCCACCACATGTGGGACAGGAACTCTAGTAAAAGCGCCCAGGTGGCTAAGGCCTGGTGTGCACAATAATCAACTTAAAGCAAACACCTGGGGGGAATGAGCATCATTAATGGGAAGGGCCAAGAGAATAGAGGGGATGAGGAGCTAGCAGCAAGGTGCACACACAGCTTTGAACATCATATTGAAGGGATATGAGGTTCATAAGCCAAGGGCTAACCATGCACCAAAAAGCTCTTCCAAATTAAAAGTTGTTTGTCGAAAGAAAGTCAGACAATTGCCAGTCATGACTGTAGAGTGAATCACTGACTTGGGAACTGAGGACTGTTCTCACGACACAGACCCAGTGCACAAGGAGATGCACATTAGGAGGGTAAAGAAAATCGACGTGCAGGCTTGGTCCTAGCAGAGCCAATGCTCCCACTTAAGAGCAGGCTGGAAGAATAACACGGAGCAGGAAGGGGGAGGAGGAGGAGGAAGGGCGAGGGAAGAGGAGGAGAAGGGAGAAAGCTTCTTTTTCTTAAAGATTTGCTTTATTTGAAAGGCAAAGTGAGAGAGAGAGAGAGAGAGAGAGAGAGAGAGAGAGAGAATCCATCTTCCATCCTCTCGTTCATTCCCCACGTGGCTGCAGCAGCCAGGACTGGGTCTTGCACATGGGTGGCAGGAACCCAAGCACTTGGGCCATCACGTGGCCCCTTCCATGTGCATTGGCAGGAAGCTGGGTCTGAGGTGCTTCTGAGTCTCAAACCAGACACTCTGATATGGGATCGTGGGGTCCCAAGTGGTGGCTGAACCCACTGAGCCACACGTCAGCCCTTGAAGAAATTTTTGAAAGTGAAGAAGTACTTAATATTTCTGATCAAAACTGAGATAGTAGGAAATAGGTAGGTGAACTATCTGGATTCTGAATTTCAGAACTAGAGATGATTTACAAGTTTTCTGGAAAAAAATTGCATATGAAGAAAAGCCAATCGGAGTGGCAAAAGCCTTGTCTACAAGATTAAATGAATGCCAGTGGATAAGGAGGGAAGACTATCTGGGTCCAAGAAAGAAGAATTCAGAAACTTAATTTCTGTGATTAGAAAATATCGTATAAGAATTAAGCAAAGATACAAGGCTTTGAAAATATGCCATTCACATATAATTTCTGAAAAAATTACTTCTAAATGAAAAATTCAAGAAATAAATTGATGTAGATGACAATAATCGTTGGTAACCAAAGAAACGATAATTACTTAACAGCTAATTTTAACAATCATTATGGGTACTATACTTCATACAATTATTTAGAATTATTCTTTTAATAAAAAAGTACATAGTTGATCATAACTTAGAAGCAAAAATTCACTAATATTTGTGAGGCACAATTGGAAAAGACAAAGAATTAAAAATGTAAGTGATTATAATCGCATATTTTTTAAACTATCAAATTACCTATGTCATTTGCATTATATTTCTTTTTTAAAATTTTGATTTTAATTAGTTTTGAACAGATTGCATGTGATCTGTAGATGCAGTTCTAAGAATGTGATGTCATTCCCTTCCTCCCTCCTTCCCTCCCTCCCCCTCACCTCCCCACCCTCTCTTCTCCTTTCTCTCTCTCTCTCTCTCTTTTTTTTTTTTTTTTACAGGCAGAGTTAGAGAGAGAGAGAGAAAGGTCTTCCTTTTCCGTTGGTTCACCCCCCCAATTGGCCGCTATGGCCGGTGCACTGCGCCGATCCGAAGCCAGGAGCCTGGTGCTTCTCCTGGTCTCCCATGCAGGTGTAGGGCCCAAGCACTTGGGCCATCCTCCACTGCCTTCCCGGGCCATAGCAGAAAGCTGGACTGGAAGAGGGGTAACCGGGACAGAATACGGCGCCCTGACCGGGACTAGAACTCAGTGTGCCGGCGCCGCAGGCAGAGGATTAGCCTAGTGAGCAGCAGTGCCAGCCTCTTTTTTAATTTTTGAGATAACGTATTTTAAAATTACATTACAGTAACAAGGCTTAATTCTTCACCAACTAAGAAGTTTAACTAATAGGAAGCAAAAAGACCCTGGTTTAGCGGGAATGTAGACAATGGCTATAAACATTAATTGAATGGAAAAATGACCTTTTCACCCATATTTAGTAAATTTGACATTTATAATAGTATGACATTCTTTTTTTTAAGTTCTTTTTTTTTTTTTTTTTTTTTTTTTGGACAGGCAGAGTGGACAGTGAGAGAGAGAAACAGAGAGAAAGATCTTCCTTTTCCGTTGTTTCACCCTCTAATGGCCCCCACGGCCAGCGTGCTGCGCTGATCCGAAGGCAGGAGCCAGGTGCTTTTCCTGGTCTCCCATGGGGTGCAGGGCCCAAGCACTTGGGCCATCCTCCACTGCACTCCCTGGCCACAGCAGAGAGCTGGCCTGGAAGAGGGGCAACCGGGACAGAATCCGGCACCCCAACCGGGACTAGAACCCGCTGTACCGGCACTGCAGGTGGAGCACTAGCCTATTGAGCTGCGGCGCCGGCCATATGATATTCTTAACCGTTGGTTTGACAAAGATATAAAACAAAGCTTTACAGAACTGTATTTGAGCAATACTGATCCACACAGACGTTTCTCTCTTTTTCTTTTTCTTTGGCCCTCCTGTATGTATTGTTTAACTGCTCTTCTTTTGCAGCGTCTCCTTCGCTCAGGAGAATCAAGTTACTGATATAGAAAACCTCGAAACCCCTGGAGAAAAATTGAAACAGCAGCTTGCAACTCATTTGATCCTGGAAGGTCAGAAAGGGGGGGAAACACACAAAATATAATCGGCGGCACAGTCCAAAGGCAAGATGCAGAAGTACGCAGTTTCATCAGAGCAACATCCAGAGTAACCGGACTCAGCAAGGCTGATGGATTAACAGACACCGGGGCCGGCGCCGTGGCTCACTAGGTTAATCCTCCACCTGCAGCGCCGGCATCCCATATGGGCGCTGGGTTCTAGTCCTAGCGCCGGTTGCTCCTCTTCCAATCCAGCTCTCTGCTGTGGCCCGGGAAGGCAGTGGAGGATGGCTCAGGTCCTTGGGCCCTGCACCCCATGGGAGACCTGGAGGAAGCACCTGGCTCCTGGGTTCAGATTGGCGCAGCACCAGCCTTAGCAGCCATTTGAGGGGTGAACCAACGGAAGGAAGACTTTTCTCCCTGTCTCTTTCTCACTGTCTATAACTCTACCTGTCAAAACAAAAACAAAAACAAAAACAAAAAACAAACAAACAAAAAACCCCACAAGAATGAACAGGTAACCATGGAAGTATCACACCAAGTCAGTCGTGGTCAAGCTCTCTAAGTGGAACAACAAAGACAGTTTTACAAAGCAAAACGGCTATGACTCACCAGGAAGCCAGAACAATCCCCGACTCTTATACATCAAAACCACTTCAATGTCAGAATCAAACCAATAATCAGAGTGCAGAACATTGAAAAATTATACCTCTCTCTACAGATACAAAACAACCCACTGAGAAGATTTGTTTATTACGATGATGAAGCTTCGTGATGGCCTTGCACCCAAGGGACAAAGAAAGAACAGTACTTTCAATTCCCAGGGGACATTAAAATCTAGGGCACTGATCCACACTCCACACTAAAGAAAATCTCACCAAGTCTCCAAGGGGAAATGCATGGGCCACGTTTTCCAACACAGCGCACTAGCAACCCAACTGCAGTCATAAAGGTTTCAAAACCATTGGAAACACACACAGCAGCCGGGTCCCAGATGTCTCCTGGCCCAAGGGCAAATGGAGCATTTGGTGACCAGCCAGTCGAGCGCTGATGACACGGGCAGTTCAGATCTGAACATGGCTGCCATCGAGGAGGTCCCCCCAGAGGTCTTCATTTTCCGTGATGTCTGTGGCAGAATGAGAAATGCCGAAAGGAGATGAACAAAACCGCTCAACTGCCCAAGCTGGAACATAAAACTAAACAGAGCGAAAGAAACTCGGGGAGAATTAACATGTACAAAACCAAACCGCTTCACGAGAACCCTGCAAAGGACAAGGTGGGTCCCGGGAGCCCCCTCTCCTGTGCAGGTTTCTGCTGGGGCTTCCCGGCCTGCATCCCCTGACCCCCACCCCGGGGCCAGGAGCCAGGGCTGCCCCCAGGCTCCACCTGCTGCCCTGAAGCTCCGGTCCTGGGGCTCCTTCTTCGGGTCGCTCAATCCTAGAGAGAAGCAAGGGACATAATGGGCTGGAGCTGTTAGGAGGGGACCTCAGGAGGGGTGGTGCCCGGGGGACAGCAGGCACAAGGGGACTCCCTGCCTCCAGGCAGCTTGAGAGCTGAAGCTACTGCGCGGGGGGTGGGGGGTGGGGGGGGGGGTGATTTGAGTCTTGGTCTTTGCATTCTCTGCCTACTTGAAGGGGGAGATAGGAGGAGGAGCATGAGTTGGGGTGTGCAGAGGCTTCAGGTCGGTCCTGGCCGTGCCTGGACCAGAAAACTGTCCCCTTCCCCCCCGCCCCCGACTCAGAGATGGCCCCACCCTCACCTCTGACCCTGCCAGGGCGCTGCTTTACCTGGCCAAGGGAGCCTGGGATTGCAAGCGGAGTTAAGCTTGTTCTCTGACTAATGTTGACTTGGGGAGGTAAGCCAGGATCATCTGGTCAACCACAAGGATTCGCGTAGAGAGAAAGGCAGAGGCAGGGTCACGGCCATGCAGTCGGAAGTGAGGCAGAAAGGGGAGTGGTGTGATTGCTGGCTGGGCCCGATTCTACTCCCGCCCCCCGAGCCCCCAGAAGGAACAATCCTGCGGAAGCCGTGATTTTCGTCCTGGGAGGCCCAATTCAGACGGCAAACTGTTATGGATGCCGGGGCGGGGGATGGGTGGGTGGGGTGGTGGTGCCCAGGGGACACAAGGGGTCCAGGTGCTCGTTCCAACGGACAAAAGCCGAGGATCTGTGGCTCCACAGGCCGGCGCGGGCAGGCTTGGCAGGTGTGCTTGGCAGGGCCCAGGGCTGGGGCGGATTATTGGATCTGGATTTTCCAACTGCAGGCTTTGCAGCTGGGAGGGTCCTCTTCATGGTCAGGGCGGGTCTCTGCTCACCGCGTGCGTGTGTGAGGTCGCAGGCTCTAACGGAAGCTGTATGTTAAGTCCTCTCCCAGGGCTGGGTTTGTTACACCTACCGTGGAGCAGAGGCTGCTCAGCTGGTGAAGCCGCTGTGTGGCTCATCTGTCCAGTATATTGAGGCCGCTGGGGTGTGGCTGCTTGGTTGCTGGTGAGCAGGGCCTGTTTGCTCGCCCAGGGACGGCACAGCAGGGCCGCCTGCCCTGGACCTGCCTCGCGACTTTCCGAACCGAAAACTCAGCGGTGCTCGGGTAGCCCACGAAGTTTGCCCCTGCAGGCATTTTTCAGCTCTGCCACGGGGGACTTCTTTTCCCTCTATTTGGGCGGTAAATTGTTGGCCTTACCTACTTGGAACAGCAGAGGGCGCTATTGGACAGCGAAATGTTTGCGTGTTAACCGCGCGTTTCATTTTTCATACTTCAGCGATAGGCAGTTAAGACCGATTACAACCAATCCAGTTTGTGAGATAATCCAAGCAAATAAACCGTGGTAGAATAATATATGGAACCCTAGTGTGATGTGCCTACTTCCAGATAGAACAAATTTTGATAATAAGTATATTAATTGTTTTAAAAAAGAAGCAGCCGAGTATCAAGTTAACGTTCTCGCTTTCCACCTAGAACTAGCCACTATCATTAATTTATGTCTACTTTTCATGCTTTTAGTGTTTTATTGAATAATCATGTAGCATCATGTATTGCTTTGCAAATCTAAACTTTTATATAAATGCTAGCACCCTTTTGTTTCTGAAATTGCTGTTTGCCTTTCAGGTCCGCACTATGTTCACCGGTAGCTACTTTATTAGTACCCGCACATTTTGTTACCGTAACTAATTTGTTGAAACTGCTGTCCAGTGTTTCACTGTAGGATCGTCAATGATCTATTTACCTGCTCCCGTGGGAAGACGCTTGGTTCTGTCTGTCTCTGACTCATTCCCTCAAAGCCCACAGCGTCTGGAGCTGGAAACAGAGACCTCAGTGCAAATGTCCCTCGTTCAGTGGCAGGGATTTGGCTGCTGAGCCATCACTGCTGTGTCCCAGAGCACACGTTAGCAGGAAGCTGGGACCTGCAGATTCTCTGAGGCTCTCTCAGCCTTGTCTCAGTGCCCTCTTGCTGGAGATAAGCTATGTTCCTGCCTCCAGGCAAACAACTGCTGGGGCTGGAGGCTCCGCCGGGTGCTCCGGCACAGCCTGCTGCTGTCTGGGGATCCGCTCGGTTCCCCATACCCATCCTCATCTTTGGAGGTGACCTTGCTGCTCCTCAGTATGGGGTACTGGGATGCGGGACGCCTCAAACATGTTAGTGGAGTCCACTCCACGTAGTGTTTCCCTCTGCCCTCAGTCCCCAGTCAAAGCTGATGAAGATATCTCACCCGCTGGTGGAATCTTGCACGTCTTTGTACTCAGTTTTATCTCCTCCACTGCTGTGAGGGGATCGAGGCACCCGGACCCAGTGCACTCTTGAATACCTCGGAGGGTAACTGCTCTGTTTCTTCTGGGTTCACAGCTGCTGTTTTTTTCCCCCAGTACTGTGCAGTTTCTTTCCAGAAGCTGGCTTTGCCCAAGCATTTGGTGACATGTTGAGTGTCTACACATCTGGAAATCCGAGTCTGTGCCATCATCCCCCTCCAGTGGCTGGGGATAAGCCCTCAATGCCACCGGAGCCCTGGAGCGAGAGACAGGAGGTCAGCTTTCTCACACTTCACATCCGCTGATTTTGGGCTTAAAGTCCCCAAACTTCTCCTTCCTCTGTTGATTCTTTTTTTCTTTAAGATTTATTTTTGTGCTTGAAAGGCAGAGTGACAGAGAGAAGGGGAGATGGGTGGCAATGACTTGGGCATCTTTTTTTTTTTTTTCTGACAGGCAGAGTTAGAGTTAGTGAGAGAAAGAGAGACAGAGAGAAAGGTCTCCCTTCTGTTGGTTCACCCTGCAAGTGGCCGCCACAGCTGGCATGTTGTGGCCGATGAGTTGTGCCGATCCAAAGCCAGGAGCCAGGTGCCCCCTCCTAGTCTCCCACGTGGGTGCAGGGCCCAAGCACTTGGGCCATTCTCCACTGCCTTCCTGGGCCACAGCAGAGAGCTGGATTGGAAGAGGAGCAACCGGGATAGAATCCAGCATTGGGCATCTTCTACTGCCTTCCCAGGTGCATTAGCAGGGAGCTGGATCAGAAGCGCAGCAGCCGGAACTCGAACCAGACTCTTATAGGATGCTGGCATCACAGGAGATGGCTAAACCCACTGTACCACGATGCTGGCCCCTGTTGCTATCTTTCTTAGCTCTGCTTTAGACATGCTTTCCTCTCATCTTGTTTTTCCTTTAATCTTCTCTGCTTTCTATTTTTTGATGATTCCTGAAAAATGCTGGTTGTGCATATTCTTGGTCCCCCAACTACTGTGGGTATATTGTGGCTTTTTTTGTCTGTTACATTATTCCTTGGGGGTTAGAATGGGAAGGACAGTAGATGCTTACATTCAGTTTGCCATCTTGATCCAATCTCTTTTGTAGCCTTATATTCCTACATATTCTATATTTATGTAGAATTCATATAGTATACTCTATAATTATCATCTTCAATTTTCATTTAACAGAGTATGAATAAATTTCCAAGCATTACTTGAAATCTCATATAATGAGAATGTATTTATATCACTTATGCAGTAAAATGACAACATAAAATTAATAGCCGTGAGAACATTCTCTATCACAACTCATGGCTGAAGTGAGTCTGACAGAGAAGTCTTTTGGATGCATTATTAAATAAAAAAAGAATAAAAATAACTGGTCTAGTTTATAGAAAGAGCAACAAAATAAACTTAAGGAATCTGGAATACAAGGAGAAAAAGCATAGGTGAGCAGACTAAAGCAAAGAAGAGAAACAATAAATGAATTTTAAAAAATTTTAGGGGCTGGTGCTGTGGTGTAGCAAGTAAAACTGCTGCCTGTGGTGCCGGCATCCCATATGGGCACCGGTTTGAGTCCCAGCTGCTCCTCTTCCAATCCAGCTCTCTGCTGTGGCCTGAGAAAGCAGTAGAAGTTGGCCCAAGTCTTTGGGCCCCTGCACCCATGTGGGAGACCCGGAAGAAGCTCCTGGCTCCTGGCTTCAGATGGGCACAGCTCCAGTTCTTGCAGCCATTTGGGGAGTGAACCAGAGGATGGAAGACCTTTCTCTCTATTTCTGCCTCTGCCTCTCTGTAACTCTGTCTTTCAAATAAATAAAATAAAATCTTAAAAAAAAAAAGTTTAAAAGGCTAGTCAGATAAGAATTAGATAGGGCCTGGCAGCTCTGCCAGCCAAGAGTTGGGTCACTGGAAATGGACCTGCCCTGGAGTCGAAGGATGCTCAGGTCAGAGCCACAGACCTTGCTGACTCCAAGCTGAAAAGCCCTTCACTCGGCCCAGCTTCCAAAGTGACCACTACTGCTGAGGGGACAGCCAAGGGTCAGCAACACTGCAGGCAGAACTGTATATTTCCTCTTAGAGATGCCACCTGACTTTACCTGGCCAGCTCTCCTCCCAGGCCAGCTAGGTAACAGGAGTCAACAGGGTGCCTTCCCAAGGAGGTTCACACCTCCCTTAGGGTGTACCGCATGTGAAGAAATAGACAGACTTTGCCTCCTAACTGACAAGGCCTTAAAGCCCACCAGATTATTATCAAGCCCTTCTGTCAGTTTCTATTCGCCTCTCAATAGGAAAACATTCATGGCTGAGACAACACTTTTCTTAGGCCCTCTAGTAATGAGTCTGTCCTTTGTTCTAGACCCTGTCTAGCCCACTTGGACCTCATTCCTTTATAATCATAGCCTCTACTCTAACATCAATGGCTCTACTCCCAGCCTGTGTGTATTGATGGTCCTCTGCCCCACTCAATGTTGTATGATTGTTTAGAATTTCTCTACAAACCTCTCTACCCACAAAAGATGAGTGTCCTTTCTCCCAATTTTGGCTGAGATCAGCTTTAAACCACATCCATCAGTCTTCACAAGGGTCCAGAGACCCCCCCTCATTTCCTCTCCTCTACGAAATCCTCTCATTACCTGGTTAATGCCACTCTTAGGATTATTGGTTACTATTCTCACCCTGTCTTTTATACTACCGTGTCTGCTTAAGTGTTTACAGGAGGTGATAACGGAATGAACCAAGACCTTCAGAAACCAGGCGGTCAACAAAATGCTGCTACAAGGATATACTCGGCTCCCCACCCAGGAGACAGCCATTTGAGACATCGCCCCATGCCAGCAAAGAGTACCTCATGGCCCCATGTCAGCAGGAAGTAGCTCTAAAGACAGATCATCGTCCCTCTACCCCTCCTGGACTTTTGGGTCTAATGTAATCCCATACAACTCCTGCTTTATAAAAAACAAAAGGAGGGAATATTAGGAAAATGGCACAGTCTTTTCTATGGCGCGATCAACACCCTGACACCATCCTAGGCTCTAGCCCTTGCCGCCATTGCTGGAAGCCAAGCAGCCACATGGCCCAACCACCAATGTCAAGCTCCACCCCCATCCTAATGGGATTCGCTGCTCCTACTTCCCTGCCCGCCCCCTGGCAAAGTTTTACAAGGACCTGTTCCTGAACACGTGGCTCTCTTTCTCTCTTTCTTTCTGTCTCCTGACCTCTCTCTCCCTCTTACACTCTCCTTCTCCCTCTTTTCTCTCCTCATCCCTTCCCTCCAGTCTGTTGGGTTTCACCCAACAAACTCTTTCCCTTAAAAAAAAAATTAGATAGGGACATAACCATAGAGACAGAACTTAAAATGGTCAGCTCACCCTTTGCTAAAACATTTAAAGTCTCAAGGTGATTAATTCTTTCTACCAAAATATAAATACTAAGCACCTAGTAGAAATATAGAAATAATTATGGAAAATGTGCTTAAAATTTGTCACCAGCATCCCATAACTCCTGTATTGATAGCATCAGATTACTGTCATATTCCATCAATCCAAAAAGGAAGACAAAGGAAGAGATCATTCTTTTTTTTTTTTTTTTTTTGACAGGCAGAGTTAGACAGTGAGAGAGAGAGAGACAGAGAGAAAGGTCTTCCTTTTTCCATTGGTTCACCCCCCAAATGGCTGCCATGGCTGGTGCGCTGTGCTGATCCAAAGCCAGGAGCCAGTTGTTTCCTCCTGGTCTCTCATGGGGGTGCAGGGCCCAAGGACTTGGGCCATCCTCCATGGCACTCCTGGGCCACAGCAGAGAGCTGGACTGGAAGAGGAGCAACCAGGACAGAATCTGGCGCCCCAACTGGGACTAGAACCCGGGGTGCTGGTGCTGCAGGCA